AATCGTGTCGTCAGTTCCAAGGCATTATGTTTTGTATATATATGTTAATGTATATATTTTGTATATACATTTTATCTTATCAATAAAAGAAAGTGTTCTTATTTCACATGTGGTTTATTGCTTCATTTATATATATGTATTACATGTGAAATGCCTGGATGATACAAATCTTTAGAAGATCAAAATCATCAAAGTATTCCCTACATAGGTAATATTAATTGGGCAATAATATTACATAGTAGGCATGCTGAATGCCTCCGTAGAATATCATGTGATGATATTAGTGTGGGTAATTATAAAAGTTATATCACTAGGGCATTAGTATGGATACGCGGTTAGTGAACTGTTTATCGAATATGACCATTTATGATTAATCACATGGATATTTAAAACATAGTCAATGATTTATCATAAAATCATACTAGTGTATTATTAATCCTTAGACCTGAGATATCATGGTTGGATTCTGCATAAACACATATGGTTCATATGGTGAATAAACACGAGACTAATCATGTCATGTGTTAATAAGCCGATTTGGCCATGTGTTGTTTATGTGTGAGGACAAGTGATAGTCAAGATGGGATCCGTTGACTTGGTATAGATTGTTCCTAGACAAATGTCAAGATACATTGGAAAAGGGAAATCTTCGGCCAAGGTATATAAAATGTTACTTGAAAGGTTATTTCTTGGTGACACGTTCCATATGTATTGATTGTCAATTTGATATAAAATTAAGATAAGGATTTTGACATACCATGAATCTATTCTTAATTGGGATTAGACAACGGAAGGATTTGATTATACAACGTGTATGATTATAAAAGGGTTTGTTGGAGTATATTTTCATTGTGACTTAAGGGTTATGGAGCATTGCTAGATGTCTACCATAATCAGTGGGAGTTTTGTTCATAAAGATTTATGACAAAACATATCGAAATAGACTGTGATATTGGGCTCAGGGCTAGGCCACAGTGAACCTAAGAGGTCACACATAAAAACTAAGGAGAATGGAGAAATAGCCAAAGAGAGTTGATTATCCAAGGTTAGCTATCACCTACCAAGGGTAATAAAGTTATTTATATTATTATCATTGAATTAGATTCAATGGAGGGTTATATTATTTATTATGAATAATTTAAGAGCTAAATTGCTAATTGGAATTCAATGGAATTCCAATTCATAATTAATCATTTTCTTTATATGAAATTGATTTAGTAATGGGTTGTAATTGTAAACATATGAACAATTTAAGGGTTAAATTGTTATGTGAACAATTTAAGAATTAAATTGTTAATTGTGATTAAATGTTAATCCCATGTTGTTATTTAAAGAAGTATAACAACTTCATAATAATTATGGAATTATTTACAACTCCAAAAACAATTATAGAATTGTTTAAAGAAGTCCAAAACAATTATTGAATTGTTTACAAGGCTACATATATAAAGAAAATGATATATCAATTTTTGTGTAGAGATCAAAATCTCTAAGAACCCTAAATCTCTCTTTTGGCCTAATTCTTCTTCTACCTTGGTGTGGATACTCTTTTGTTTAATTTCTCTTGAAATTAAAAGTCTCTAAGGTTATTAAGGACTTAAGGTAACATGTTATACCTTACTTATTTCCAATTTGATTGAATTTTTTTTTTCAAACTATGAATATACATGTTATAGTATCACATGCATCATTCTCCATGTATTCCATCTTGCAATATCTCTCAACTTGATGTTAAAAATTCCTTCATGAATGGATATCTTCAAGAAGAAGTTTATATGGCGCCCTTCCCTGGTGTTTCACATGATTCTGGGTATGTTTGCAAGCTCAAGAAAGCGTTATATGGTCTTAAACAAGCACCTCGTACTTGGTTTGAGAAATTTTCTGTTGTGATCTCTTCCCTTGGATTTGCTTCTAGTATTCATGATTATGCTCTTTTTGTTAAGTGCACTGATGCAGGTCGTATCATTCTGTCTTTATATATTGATGACATGATTATTACTGGTGATGATATTAATGGTATTTCAGTTTTGAAGACAGAGTTAGCTAGACATTTTGAAATGAAGGATTTGGGTTCTCTACGATATTTCTTGGGTATTGAGTAGCCTACTCACCTAGAGGTTATCTTCTTCTCAGTTGAAATATGTTGCAGATATTTGAGGGGTAGACTTACTGATAATACGACTGTAGATACTCCGATTGAGGTTAACGCAAAGTATTCTTCTTCTGATGGTTTACCTTTGTCAAATCCTACTCATACGTACTATTGTTGAGAGTTGGTATATTCACTATTACTCATCCAGATATTGCATATGTTGTTCATGTTGTTAGTCAGTTTGTTGCTTCTCTTACTATAGTTCATTGGGCAGCTGTTCTTCATATTTTGCGGTATCTTCGGGTACAGTCTTTCAGAGTCTTTTACTTCCATCACTCTTCCTTGGAGCTGCGTGCATTTGATGCTGATCATGGCCGTGATCCCATAGATTGCAGGTCTGTTACTGGTTTCATATCTTTTGGGTGGTTCTCTTATTTCTTGGAAGAGCAAGAAACAATCTATTGTTTCTCAATCTTCAACCGAAGCAGAATACGTGCTATGGCATCTACTACCAAGAGATTGTTGGTTACGTTGGTTACTTGCAGATATGGGAGTTTCGCTTTCTCATCCCACCCCTATGTATTGTGACAACTAGAGTTCTATTCAGATTGCTCACAACTCGGTTTTTCATGAACGAACTAAGCACATTGAGATCGATTGTCACCTTACTCGTCATCATCTCAAGCATGGCACCATTACCTTGCCCTTTGTTTTCTTCTTTGCAGATTGCATATTCTTTACCAAGTCGCATTCATTTCCCATTTTCGTCTTAGTTGGAAAACTCTCTATGCTTGTAGCCGCTGCATCGTGAGTTTGAGGGGAGATGTTAAGAAAATAAGGTTATGTTTTATTGTTTATTAAGGGTAGAAGTTCTTTTCAGTTTCCTTTGTTTAGCCTATATATAGTCTCTTTGTATTTAGGTTAAATCATCTTTTGTATTCAATTGCATTGTGCAGTATCAATGAAACCCTAGCCTCCTCTTTTTTTCTTATTTCTTTGGACTGTTTAACATGCATGCCCAATTAAATCAAAAAGTTTAATCATTCTACAACAATTCTAGTCACTGATCAGTGTGTTGTAATCTTTTTGGTTGTAAATATGTAGCAAATATCTTTCATGACACACGTTCAAACCATTACTTACGCCTTTTTTCAGTACATACAAAGTAACCTCCAACAGAAGGGGAAAAAAAAAAAATTTCTAGTAACATTTTTACAACATGACAGTTTGTCCTGAAGGCCATTCAAGAATTGACAATACAAGTACCTCCATCTTTGGCTGGTGAGTAGAGAACCTATAAAACTCCAGAATCCCCCAATAAATCCAAGTGCCACGCTCACAAAGAACCAGTTTACTTCATCTTCACTACCATCTTTCTCTCCTCTATTATGACCGTTGAGTGCTGGAACAGTACAGTACAATTATTAGGAAGTGGAGGTCCACAAAGTTGGTTTCCAGTAAAACAGGATGCATCAAAGCCACTTAATTGAGTGCTTGAAGGAATTCTTCCAGTTAAGTGGTTGTCAGATAAGTTCAAGTCCCTCAAAAAGGTCAAACTTGAAAGGCTTTGTGGGATTTCACCTGAAAGTTGATTTCTGGAGAAATCAATAGACTCTACATACCTCATAGCACCAATGTTCTCTGGAATTCTTCCAGTAAAATCATTGTGTGACAAGTTCAATGATGCAATCTTGAAAGATTTGTCACTTCCATAGGAATTTGTCGAAGAACTTATTTTTTGAAAGGTCTATAACTCTCACAAACTTCAGAATTGTGCTATATTCAACATCTGACCATTCTTCACAAGTAGTTCACTCTCGAAATATGTGATAAATAACTGCATTAGTTCATAATTCATATCGTTTTCCTCATTGGAACTCTTTGTCTTCATGGCACTGAAGTTATTGATGCATCTTGGTATGGTTCCAAAGAAGTTGTTATCTGCTAGGTCTAAGATTTGCAGAGAATGGAGATTACAAAGTTCTTTGGTAAATGGCCAGAAAACTTATTTGATCTAAGGTTGAGAATCTTCATTCTTGAAAACCTCTCTCCAACCCACACCTTGAGATTTCCAACAAACTCATTTTCACCCAAATCAAGCGATACCATCTGCTACAATTTTTGAGTGACACAGGAATTGTTCCAAAAAAGTGGTTTTTGCGAAGGTTTAACCATTTAAGAGAACTTAAAGTCCCAATAGAAGCTGGAAGCTTACCCATGACTTATTGTTACCTAAATTCAAGACTTTTAAGGCTTTCAAATTCATCCAACAATCAGGTATAACTTTGACAAAAAGTTGTTGTTAAGGATGAGAATTTGCATCTTGCGTTGACTCATTCTCATATCACACAAGAAACGGAAAATTGATCTGACAAAACATTGTTGGAAAGATCAAGCAGATGCAAATGGAAGGGCACAAGAGGCATTGAACCTGATAAATTATTTGAATTCAAGTCAAGCACTTGAAGTTGAGTTGACTCTATTAAAATGGAATCTGCCCATAGATTTGGTTGTGAGAGAGATTTACAAACCTGAAAGGAATTTTGAATAAAAATGTTGGGATGGCATCTTATTCTTGAATCGGATATGTTAAGATATTTTAAATGCTTTTGTGGACGAAGCCATAGTGGAAATGAGGCCCAAATGGCAAGATCCCAATCCTAGGGATTCGAGTTTAAAAGGAGGAACCCAATGAGGACTGATTGGAATATTAATGAATTTCCAGATGCATAAAATGCAACTAATCTTGTCCGATACGAAAAATGCATCTCAGAAACTATTCCATTCAATTTGTTATGGCCAACATGAAAAATTTTAATGACGATAGTTCTCCTAAAGTGAACGGATAGGACCTGAAATAGAATTGTTACGTAGAAAAAGAGTATCTAACTTTTTAAATTGTCCAAGTCTACCCGTATTGACCAAAAACTTGACTTTCTTCCAAATCCAAAATCTCTAGTACATCTGAAACACATCTAGAGAAAATATCAATGACATCAGATATTGGTTGGCTTAGATTGACAAATGAGATACTGATTAACCTTAAGTTGCAAAGTCGTCCCATTGATCTTGGGATTCCACCTTCAAATCCATTTGATGAGAGATCAAGCTCTTCTATAGATGTCAGATTTCCTAGAATCCCTAACGTGCCTTTCAACCAATTATCATCAAGAGAAAGTCCTTGGAGACTTCTAAGTCTGTAAAACCAATTGGGTATTGAAGAATTGAAATTATTTCCAGATAAACCAAGATATCTAAGGGAAGTCAAGTTTTGAAGTCCATAAGGAATTGGACCTTCAAAATAATTATCACTCATATCAAGGGTCTCAAGAAACGAAAAATTTACAGTGGGAAGTTGAGAAAAATGATGAATTCCACAATAACGCAATTTTAACACTACTAGAGAAGGGAGTGTATTGATCACATGCAGCCAATCAGAGGATTGGCTGAGATCCACACCACTCAAGTCAAGGTGTTCCAACAAAGAAAGACGAGATAACCACCCTAAATATTCAACATCTAAACTGCTATCGAGGGCAAGATACTGCAGATTAGAGAGGTTTCCTAGCTGTTGAGGAATTATACCTCGGAAAAAATTTTGAGAAAGATCAAGGTATCTTAAATTGTGCATATAACAAAGGAATTCAGGAATCTGACCATCAAAATTGTTATTGCTCAAGTCCAATGAGCGCAAATACTTTAAATCAAGCAAAGAGGGATTTACCTTACCAACCAGCTCTGATTCAAATTCATTGTTAGAAACAGGTTCATTATCATTCAACCGAGGAGTTGTAAGTTTGAGCTCAAGGACATGGCCTGTCACGTTGTCACAAAAAATGCCAGACCATGTACAGCAATCTCCATGACCAGAAGTCCAAGAGGCAAGCCGGTTGGAAGGATCTATTAGATCTTTCTTGAACCTTAAAAGAGCTTGTCTCTCACTTTCAATGCAACCCCGGTAAGAGCTTCCTCCGCAGAAGCTAATGTTGAGGGTTGTGGAAATGAAAAGAAAGGCAAGAAAAATGCTCATGGTTTTCATTTGCATAGGAAAAGGAATTGAGCATGAGAATATTATTATTAGTGGCGTGCTATTTATAGAGTTTCCATTCACTGAACCACTAACTAGTTTGTCCAGAAATCAATTTTAAAACTTGCAGGAAATTTCTTTGATCTTTACTGATGACATCAAGATTTTAAAGATGTCAGTGGGCCACGTGGCTCCAAGATCCCCTGTTTCAAAGATAAGGGACCCCCATGGCCTCATAGTCAATTGACCCGAATTAATAATTACTTCTGCATCAAAATTTCAAAGATATGGGACCCCGTGGCCTCATAATATAGACGTGGAAAATATAAGTAATTTTGAAAAATTGCTCTGTTAAAGAAAGAAAACAAAAAACAAAATAATTGGTATCATTTACAAATGATCAATAATATCTCATTACACATTTTAGAAAAGATGCAAATACTTCTAATTTTAGTACGTCCAATAAACAGAGTAGACTTCAAATCAATTAAAGAGGACAAAATATGAAACTTTGATTTTTCTTACTGTCCATTTCAACATTTCACACAACATTTTGGAGAAAGAAAAGATATAGAATATTTCAATAATTTCTGTTCCAAAAATTATCTTCTGGGAGAGGTCTTCAAACTCATTTTCTCAAGGCTTTCTTTATTAGCGTGGTGATTAATTAGCATGGAGTTAATTATGCATGTGAATGCATAAAGTTATTCTTATTGACCACAATGGAGGCTTTGCTCTTTCCTCACAAATCACACCACATTACAATTCACACCTAACAAAAAAGATCTCTTCTCCAAGTCCAATACATTCTTTGACCGAGTTAGCATATAATGTTTACCATTTATTCATGTATAAAGCTTGACGACATATTGTCTATCAAAAATTTAACCAAAGACATTCATGCCTTCTATAAATTTTCTATAGCTTGCCGTTCATATTTTATAAAGTTGTGTAGTATTTGATTAGTTTGTTGAGAAATATTCCTAGTGTCCGATTCTAATTACTTTAGTTATCTACTCTATTTCGGGCCCTTGTTTCAATTTCAAATCAAATTAGAAATTAAAGAGATAGTTTGTTTATCACCATTAAATCACCAAGAAATTAAGAATGATTAAAGTACATGGAAAATACTTGGCACTAGAAGCTATCTATGAAGTAAACAGAAAGTATCATGGGCGACATTTGATTTCATACTAAAGTATCATGGGCGACATTTGATTTCATACTACAGAAGCAGCTACAACTTTTCATCCATCCAATTAATTCCAATGGTTCACATTAATAAATTTTTTCGACTCTATGTCAAATCCTACTCAGCTGACCCAATTAAATCTATTCATCCATCAAACTTCTCATGAATGACCAATTTAATTGCTCAGCTTATCCAGCTCATCTTTGAAAAGTAGGACCTCACAGTATTTTCCACGTAAGTATCAAGAAAGTCTTACCGTTGATTTAAAGGACATTTAATTAGTCAATAAAGGTTTACAATAGTGTATGGGTCAAAAATCATATTGAGCCTGACGAGGACCAATAATGAAATAAACATCTTATGGCCCAATGCCTTAGCCCAATTCTGGTTGGGTCTATGCTTAAATCCACCTTGTTAACTGACCACTATATGAGGTTGGCTATCCTACGAGTTAAGCTAAATCGAGTTCTAGCACATTAGCCCACATCAGTCCAAAAAAAAAAAAAAAAGAATCAAAATCCTATTTACTTTCTACTTTAGTCAAGATCCTGAATCTACTTGAAGTGGTGAGCCTAATCTGATAAAGGCAAGGGATAATGCTTCCTTCCTAATTGAGACTTATCTACCAAGTAGGACTCAGAGTTCTACTAGGACACCAACCTCCTAGGTTCACTGTAAAAAACAGGGGCAAACCCTTTCATGAGCCATTGAGAAATAACCCACAACACCTAGCTCTCAAAGTTCTTGATAACCCACAGCACCTAGCTCTCAAAGTTCTTGCTAGCAAGAACTGCTGCCTTTCCCACCATAAAGTTTAATTCTGACTAACTTTACCACCCTCAACCGCCGTAAAGAATGATGGAGAAATGTTGGTAATACTCGCTAACTTAACCTCTCTGTTACGTCTTCTTCTTGTCACACAATGTGCTGATTTTTATGTAAATATTAATTCATGATATTTTATGATGTTGATTCAATTAAATTGCTATACTTTTCCAAGATCAAATTTTGATTTTAGAAATATGACACTAGCAATAAGTCTTTCACAAGAATAAGATCTTTATGCGTTTCGTGTACGTTAATTGAAGTGAATTATGGTGTGATGCTTGATTGATCATGACCCAAAAGATTTGTACATCTCTGCATCTCTAGATCATCTGTAATGTTTGGAGCTAGAAGTTATCTACAAAGTAAATAAAAAGTACTTTTCATCCATCCAATTAATTTCAATGGTTAACATTAATAAAGTATGTAGACTCCAAGTCATATCCTATTCAGTTGACCCCATTAAATATATTCATCCAAGGAACTTCTAACGAATGACCAATTTAATTGCTCAGACCTCACAGTGTACATTTAATTAGTCAATAAAGATTACAATAGAGAACTATCAAAGTTTAACCCCTTCTTCAAGTTTAATTTATCATTGCAGTAAAAGAATGATGAAGAAATGCTGGCAGTACTTGCTTACTTAACCTCTCTGTTACGTCTTCTTCTTATCACACTGTTAGCCCAAATCAACAACAGCTTGATCAATGGCTGAAATCATGGGTGTTAAGCAAAATCAAACAAAGGTTGATCAATGGGGGAAATCAAAGGTGTTAGTTCCTAACTAGAGAGACATGTTATAACCTGTGTCTAAGAAGATCTATTCACCAACACAAGCAAACCACAACAAGATTCAAGATTAAACCACACACACACAACCAAAACACGATTTACCATGGTTCACTTATCCTTTTATGGATAAGCTACATCCACGTTGAGCTCAGGAACGGTATGAGCTCGCTGCACTTTCTATTATCAAGAACAACCAAGATTACACAGATTCGACAACCCCAGATGTACACAAATACAACCTACAATCAGCCTAACAAGATACCCTCTAAATACCTCTAACCCCAGAGAACAACACTCTCTCCCGAATGATTAATCCCCCTAACCACTCGAACTGATTACACGAACAATCTGAAAACTCACAGCCCTAACTCTCCCAATCGCCCAAAGAGAAAAAACCCTAATAATGTGTGTGTCCCTCGATTATGAGCAAAACAAGAGTTTATATATGTTGACTAAGAGACTGATCCTTGCTGTTGAATCTGGAGTGCATCCTACGGTCTAAAATCATCCCGGTTATTTGTCCAAAACAACGGCGTGTTCCTTTACCCAAAACGACGTTGTTTCAAGCTTCCACTTTAACAATCTCCACCTTGGAAGCACTGAAGCAGCTTCTCTGTGTAGCTTGCCCAGCCCCATTCCATCATTGCTCTTTATCACTCCAGGTTACTTGATATACAACAAGTTCAAGCAGTGCTTGAACTTTGCTGGAGTGATTATCTTGGTGCCCATGTCTGCTGGATTCTCTTCTGTGGGAACCTTTTTAAGTTCAATGATTCCACTTGCAACTTGATCCCTCATGAAGTGATAGCGTACATCCACGTGTTTAGTCCTTTCGTGATACACTGGATTTTTGCTTAGATGGATCACACTCTAACTGTCCGAATACACTGTCACCTTTCCATCAATTAAGTTTGCCTTTGTCAAAATTCCTTTTAGCCATAAGGCTTCTTTCACTGCATCAGTTACTGCAATGTACTCTGATTCTATTGATGACAGTGCTACAATGGGCTGCAACTGGGATTTCCAGCTTATACAATTTCCACCTAGTGTGAAGAAATATGTTGTAGTTGATTTTCTGGTATCCTTATCACCTGCAAAATCAGCATCTATAAACCCAACCAGATCAAATGCAGTATTTCTTTTACAGTATTCAAGCCCAACACAAACAATACTGTTTATATATTTCAGCATCCATTTTAAAGTTGTCCAGTGTTCCATACCAGGGTTGGACATATACCTGCTTAACATGGAAATGGCAAAGGCTAAGTCCGGCCTAGTACTAATCATGGCATATATCACTGACCCCACAACATTAGCATAAGGGACAGACTCCATTTTCAACAGTTCTGACTCAGTTTTGGGACATTGGGACTTACTAAGTATAAACTGACTGGTTAAGGGCATTGTGACTAGTTTGGCACCAGCCATGCCAAACTTTGTGACTAGCTTCAGTAAATAAGATTGTTGCTGCAGTCTAAGTTCACTTCCCTTTCTATTCCTATTTATTTCCATGCCTAAAATTTTCTTGGCATTCCCTAGGTTTTTCATGCTGAATTCAGTGTTTAGTCTCTTCTTCAATTCACTAATTTGGGTTTTTGACTTACTAATCAACAGCATATCATCAACGTATAAAAGCAGGTAAATAGGCTTTACATTGTCCATTTTAAAGTAGAAGCAACTATCATACTGGCTTCTAGTGAATCTTATACCTGTTATAAAGGTGTCAAACCTTTTGTACCATTGCTTAGGGGACTATTTTAACTCATATAAAGACTTTTTTAGAAGGCATGCATGGTCTGGGAACTTGGGGTCAGTAAACCCCATAGGCTAGCTCATAAAGATTTTTTCCTCTAGTGTTCCATGAAAGAATGCAGTGGTAACATCCAACTGCTCTAGTTCTAAGTCTTAATATGCAACCACAGACAACATCATCCTTATTGTTTTGTATTTTACCACAGGGGAGAAGACTTCATTGAAGTATATCCCCTCCTTTTGGGTGTACCCCTTAGCCACTAATCTGGCTTTATACCTAGGTGGGTCAGCCATGGAAATGCCCTCTTTAAGTTTGAATAGCCACTTACATTGGGTCAGCTTCTGATTACTTGGCTTTGGAACCAATGTCCAAGTTTCATTTACCTTTAAAGACTGCATTTCCTCCCCCATGGCTGTTCTCCACTTGTCCCTATCCTTA